CAAAGACTTTTAAGTTATCATCATCAACCGTGCATAACATCATCAAAAGATTCAGAGAATCTGGAACAATCGCTGTGCGTAAGGGTCAAGGCCGTAAAACTCTACTGGATGCTCGTGATCTCCGGGCCCTTAAACGTCACTGCACCTCAAACAGGAATGCTACTGTCAAGGAAATAACAGAATGGGCTCAGGAATACTTCCAGAAAGCATTGTCAGTGAACACAATCCACCGTGCCATCCGCTGTTGCCAGCTGAAACTCTACAGTGCAAAGAGGAAGCCATTTCTAAGCAAGCTCCACAAGCTCAGACGTTTGCACTGGGCCAGGGGTCATTTAAAATGGAGTGTGGCAAAATGGAAGACTGTTCAGTTGTCAGATGAGTCATGATTTGAAGTTCTTTATGGAACACTGGGACGCCATGTCATCCGGACCAGAGAGGACAAGGATAGCCCAAGTTGTTATCAACGCTCCGTTCAGAAGCCTGCATCACTGATGGTATGGGGTTGTATGAGCGCTTGTGGCATGGGCAGCTTGCATGTCTGGAAAGGCACCATTAATGCAGAGAACTATGTTCAGGTTCTAGAACAACATATGCTCCCATCTAGACGTCATCTCTTTCAGGGAAGACCCTGCATTTTTCAACATGATAATGCCAGACCACATTCTGCAGCAATCACAACATCATGGCTACGTAGGAGAAGGATCCGGGTACTGAAATGGCCAGCCTGCAGTCCAGATCTTTCACCTATAGAGAACATTTGGTGCATCATAAAGAGGAAGGTGCGACAAAGAAGGCCCAAGACGATTGAACAGTTAGAGGCCTGTAATAGACATGAATGGGAGAGCATTCCTATTTCTAAACTAGAGAAACTGGTCTCCTCTTTCCCCAGACGTCTGTTGAGTGTTGTAAGAAGAAGGGGGGATGTCACACAGTGGTAAAAATAGACTTGTCCCAACTATTTTGGGATTTGTTGGCGCCATGAAATTTGGAAACTACAGATTTTTCCCTTAAAATGATACATTCTCTCAGTTTAAACTTTTGATCTGTGGTTTGTGTTCTATTCTGAATAAAATATTAGATGTTGGCACCTCCACATCATTGCATTCAGTTTTTATTCATAATTTGTTTAGTGTCCCAACTTTTTTGGAATCCGGTTTGTATAAGATATGGAACAAGCTCAACTTTTCCCCCTATTATAAGATATGAGATAGGGATTTCTACAACATTACAGCAGAGGTTGGACAATATCAACACTTATCAAGTCATCAGAGCAACGTGCACTCACCTGCTGGTTGGCCATGGTGTGATACCACCAGAAGAGACGGGTAGTGATGAAGTATGCCACAACCACATCCACCGTGTAGTGGTCATGGGCCAGAAGAATGCAGAAAATTCCAACAGCACTCAAGGTCCAGCAGAACCAGTGGTACCACCAAAAACGCTTGGGTGAATCTGACAACCAGAGAAAGAGAAGCACGTGAAACTGAATGAAGAGGATTCCTTTCCAGATATTCCACATCTGAAAACAGATCTCATTTGGTTGCAGTTTGAAGGTTCATCAGCTATTATATGACTTCAGACTAAATCATCTACTTGGACCAGTGAGAGTATGAAGAAAAAGCAGAGTAGACGGTGAAAGGTGACACTCCATCAACATTACACAAAGCTTTTCTCATATTTCACCACTAGATGTCAGATCTGTATCAATAAGATTTATAGACACAAACACCCTTAGAAAACTATCACAGTGGAGTCCAAGATGAAAAAGCTTTCAAACACATCACTGAACAAAAAAAACAACACTAAACATGATCATTTCAAAAGCTGCAGTTTCACATTTGTAGCAAACATTAGTTTGAAGAAAATAAATGAACTAGCCACACATCCGACAACAGAAGGAAAAAAATGACTGATGAGGAACAAAGACGTGGTTATATAATAAGTACAGTGTCTTCACTTTAAGGCACCAATATTGCGAGATAAGTGTTAGCACTTCCTTTTTGTTGCTTCAGCATTTCCTGACGCATTAAGAGAACTGGGATCTCATCAAACTTCAGGTATGACAGAGAGCATGACTTAAAAAAACACCTTGAGACAGTGTCTGCTTGAAGATACATGGGAGTTATAAACCATCCATCCATTATCTTTACCCACTTCTTTCTTTTCAGGTCGCGGGGGTCACTGTGCGAGGGTTAGGGGACACCCTGGACAGATTGCAAGTCCATCACAGGGACACATAGAGACAAACAACCACTCACTCTCTCACTCACACCTAGGGACAATTTAGAGTTACCAATCAGCCTAACATGCTTTTGGTCTGTGTGAGGAAACCGGAGTACCCGGAGAAAACCCACACATGCACAGACATAACATGCAAACTCCACCCAGAAAAGTCCTGGGCTGGGATTTGAACCAGCAGCCTTCTCACTGAGAGGCAACTCTACCAACTGATCCACCATGCTGCCTAGTTCTAAACTAACTATACAAATTATTTGTTATGTATTAGGGATGCACGATATTGGATTTTTGTCCTATATCCGATATGTTAAAGCTTATTTGGTCGATAACTGATACGAATGCCGACATTGTTTTCCTAGACCTACTTACAGAGACTACATAGCTTGCTCTGCTGTGGAATTAAAATACTTGATCATTCTGCACGGTCTTTGTCAGTTTGGCCTGCTACCAAATGCAGATGCCAAAAATGAGGCTGAATGATGTAACACTTCAACTTGGATTATGTTTAATGTCAAATTTATTCATGACATTTACTCTCTCTAACATAATGACAACACTCGAACAACGCAAATTTGTAAATTTTCACAAATCGAAACTCAACGGCGCGTGTGACATCATAACGTTATGCTGGCGCTGCAGGCATCCTTGTCACTGGGTTGTCATACAAAAACGCCTTTTATATCGGTGAGTTATTTTGATGGAATGGCCGATGTCCGATATTTAACTTTATCGCTAATGTTGACCGATACCGATACCATGCCGATAATATCGTGCATCCCTACTATGCATGTTACCAAAGAATAAACCGTGGGTCAGATTTGACAGATTCTCTGTTCTTAATGTACAGATTTTAGAGACAGTGGAACTTACACTCTTTGATGAAGAGGAATGTGAGCGTTAACATAACCGTGTGGCCACTATAAAGATAATCTCCACACATGGTGTGAGATCCTGTGATGGACAAGCCCCCACCGGCAATCATTTTCATTATTCTCCTCATCTGTGCCTCCCAGTTCCCAAGAAGCTGAAAAACAAACAAAGTCAGACATTGGTGTGTGATAAATATAGAAAACGTCAGTGGTGATGGTTAAGAAAAATATCAAATGTTGGTTAAAGAAGCAACATTGAACTTCTTTTAAGTTTTAATTGAAATATGTTTTGTTTTTTGTAATTCCAAAAGTCACTCATTTCATTTTAACTGCAACGGCTCCCATGATGAACTTTTCTCAAAACATTTCTAAACATAAATGTATTTCAAGCTATAATATTATAGTATTTATTATAGTATTTCAAAAATGTTTATGCATTCTACCTTTGGAGAACATTTAAAGTGCATCCCAGGAACTGGAAGAGTAGTGATGTACATTGTAATACAGCGGTACAAATACAGTGTTCCCACAATGAAAAAGAATCTCCTGCCTATAATTGACCTAAAAAAAGAAGAAGTAATTGATAATTAAATAGACATTTTGACACTCAATAATATAAATGAGAGCCGCATGTTCTGTAAACGCAGCTGAGAGTTGTACCTGTGCTTGAGTAGCAGCCACTGGATCAGCCAGAGTCCCACAAGCAGCATGCCGTTTATCTCACAGATGGAGAAGGCCCACTCCACCCTATCAAACAGGTCGAAGAACTTATCAGGCAATGGAGGAGTGTGTTCTTTTGAAGGAACTCTTTCATGGACCACTGAAATGACTATTGTGGTGGTGACAAAACAAATTATAGCATAGACGAATGCTATGCCTGTCTTCCCCCACTCTGTTGGGAACGAAGAGCGTGCAGTTTCCATTGTAGGCATTGAAATGCGGATCATCTCCCCCTTAAAGTCCTTCCCCTCCAATGTGCCATTCCTCTGGGGCTTACTAGTTCCATTAGGTATCCCCCCAACATGCCCATTGGCATGCCCATTTTTCTGAGCCTCAATCTGGGTTGCTATTCGAAGTGCTTCCCTTCGCTCCAGCAGCTGCTCTCCACCATCGGATGACACCTTCGAGAGGGGATGCTTCTGAAAATCTACCTTATTGAGTTTGAGCAGAGCAGGGCCATCTATGTTACTGAAGTCATCCAAGTACTCTAGCATCCCCTCTTTGTGCAGCCAGTCAGAAACATCTGCTGGAGACCAGTGCTCTACCTTCTTCATCTTGGTCAGCAGCAAATGTGGAGGAATAGGAGGGTCCTCAAACAGGAGGGTAAGAATTACAAGAAGACTGGCTGTCTATTGGGCAGCAAAAAGATGTCTCCAATGTTGACACATGTTGCGTCTTTCATCTAGAGCGAGTCCAGGCTCCTCTTGACATCAAAAAGAGAGAGGGAAGGCAGGAGTAAATCTCGGGATTAGGTCCACTGTACGACTGGTTGAACAGACAGGCCTTTTTTTAGCACACTGGAACTCTGTTAAAAGAAGAACAAATTGTGACTAATTATTATGCTTATTACCGAGAACAAATCAATGTGTTATACACATCATTAGTAAGAAATAGGTTCATTTTCATAGCTGTACTACTTCTAAAACACATGCCTCCAAAATCCTGGAAGCCCTATGCCTACTCTACAAGTTCGTCTTTCATCCAAAAGATCATTTGTGGAACGCAAAAAAATCTGAACGTTCATCTCAACTCATGTAAATAAATGGTATATGGTAAAGGGGCTGCACTTATATAGCGCTTTTCTATCTTATCAAGATATTCAAAGCTCTTTATACTACAACCTGTGCCCTCATGTACCCATTCATACAGCACTCTACTATTTCTGTACAAAAAATAATCAGTGCTTTATCACATTCATACACTGTTGGGACACACATGGGAGGCAATGAGGGGTTCAGTGTCTTGCCCAGGGACACTTCGACACATGACTGCTGATGGAATCGAACACCCAACTCTTGCATTGGAGGACGACTGGTCTAACCACTCAGCCACAGCTGCCCTATATATAAAAATGGTGTTATCAATAACAAAATATAGTATCACCTTCAACCTTGAAACAGGTGGTATAACTTCTGAGCCATAATTGCCCAGCCCTCTTTAGGGTAATATAAAATTATGACATTGGATTACCGGTAGTTTAACTTTAAATTGTTTTCTCTAATGTTTCTCTCTTATCCAAACTTCAAGTAACAGCCTGGAGATGAACTCACACATCTGCTACACATCATTCGTTTGTTTACAGACTGGGATTGTCAGTGGAAGACAGGGTGTTTCTGCTTATGTAAGTGTGTGCATGTGTGTGTTTCACTAGAAAGGAGCTCTGATCTACATAGGTCAGAGGAAACCGGGTGGATGTGAGGGAAACGGACTACAAGGAGGAACTCATAAATCAAGAGTGAAGGTCAGAACTGAGCACTAACTCAGCCCAACCCTGTTTGGAGGGGGCAGTCAGCCAGCAGTCATGCCTTTGTTAAGCCAGCTCGGACCAGGCAAAAAGCAGCTAAATACCCTGGCAGACTGGACAGTTGGCAGGAAAACAAACTGCACATGGGTATCTCACCTCTGTTCAGAGACCTTTCCATGCAGGCCGGCAAAACAGGGCCAAGCAAGCAGGCTGTATGCTGGGTTCTCATCAGAGCCTGACTTTGGGTTTTCTTCCATTTAGGTCAAGTGAATATTTTCATCCAATACTATTATAACAGAGTTTATTAACACTAAGGAACAAATGCAAAATGATTAAAGAGGACTTCTAAATGCATCAACTACATAACAGCCCAGCTGTGAACCTGAACCCAGCTGGAAAAGAGCAAAGACGGTTGTTTTATTTAAAGCAACAAAGAGAAGAACAGTGACAAGCAGCACTTACATCAAACTGTTAAAAGATTAGTTGTCACTGAGTCAGCTGTGCTACTGACCTTTGGTCAGTGAATCAGCTTTAACTCTGCAGCTCAGAAAATAATCTCACTCAACTGAAAGGTGATGGGAAAAACAAACTAATTCTCAAACCAATAAATAAACTATAAAGAATCCAACAAGGTGTGTGAATACTGAGTGACACCAATTTCAGAATTAACTGTGTTCTGTCATTTGATTATATGAGAACATGCATATCCAGAAAACAAACATGCAATCTGTAAAACACTTGTTTAAAAATACAATGACAATGTTAATTGTGAAAAAATCTAATTGTGAAACAAAATTTTCCTTATTTCTCACCGTCTCTTCTGCCATCACTGTCATAAACCCAGTGAGGCAAACAAGGCCAAGCTGAACTAATCAAATATTTTATTAGCATGCTAAACATGAAAGCATGGTACTTGAAACACAACGGTATATGATTTATTAGGGTCCAAGCAGTCCTTTGCAATATTGATATTGCACTCACTGAAACTGTGATAATACATTTTCAATCTATTGTCCAGTTTCAAAATGAACTAAACACCAAATGTTGGAGTTAGGCTTTGAGAATGCAACACTGTTTGCAAGCCGAGATTAGTTAACTGCTTCCATATGATTTTAAGTTTGAAACAAAAACAATGAAGATCCTCCTTTTCAATGTTTCTCGCAGAACTTTAGTTCTTATAATAAATCAAGGATCGACAAGCGAGTGTAAAGTTGCTACATGTAGTACAAATAAAAGGTCAAAAGGAGTGGTCTTAAAAGCACAAACAGTTATATTCTCGTGCTCTGTCCTATGAATGTCTCCCTACATCACAAACATCATTCATTAAGATCCCGGATGTTTACAGCTCTCAAGGAAGTGACCATTTTTTTTCTAACCTAACCACAAAAATGCACGTCAGATTCAACTCTGAAAGCATGAAAGACACTGACTCTGAGAGGACCACCCAGTACTGAGGCAGAGAGCATGGCTCACTACATGCTTCTTTTATTCCACAATTAATAAAACATTAAATAACTACAATTAAAAGCACAAACATTCAATCATGCCATACTTCTCAATATGCTACAAGCATCTTGTTGTGGGGCTGCTTGTCTGTTACACAAGCTGAGAGATTAGACAGAGTAGAAAAAAAAAAACTATTCATTCTGGAAAAAATAAGCAATTTTGAAAAATAAATTAACTTTCTTATGGTCTTTAGCTGCATCAAAGAGTTGTATTTCAATCAACAAACAACCCAAAGCATCTAGTAGGAAGACATACAAGTCGCCCTATCAAAAAAGTCTCTAGTAGGGATGCAAAATATTGGATTTTTGGCCGATATCTGATGTGCCGATATGTTAAAACTTATTTGGCCAATACCCAATATGGATATTTTATATTTTATATATATATATACTTTCCTTTGTCAGAACATAGCCCTCTTATTTAGGCTTATTTGCTGCAAAAATTGTGTAACATCTGTAAAAGCTGGTGACAGATTTCCTGGTTTTCACCCAGGCAGGCCGGGTTCGACTCCCGGTATGGGAACTAAGCTTTAAGGGCCGAGATGGTGTAGGGGCAGGGCAGCCGACTTGGGACCCGAAGGCTCTGGGTTCAATCCCTGGTCATTGCACATTTTGTGGTGTTTCTGAGCAAGACACCTAATCCCAAATTGCTCCCCACTGCTCCACCTGGGAGTATCCCAGGTGCAATGGGTTAAATGCAGAGAGCCTATTTCGTCTTTGTATGGGAACATAAAATGACGACAACACATAGCACTTTATTATTATATATTCAGCAACAGCCATATGATATGCATAGCACTTTAACTTATATTAAATGAAAAGTGTTAAATGTTATTTATTAGCATTAGTCGCATGCAATGTTGTCTCAGTTGTGGAGGCTTGTTTCAGGTTCCTAGCTGCAGCGTGGGATCCTCTGCACTCTTGAAGGTCAGCCTTTTTAAGTTCAAAGTTTTTGTCTATCCATTGTGGCATAAGACTAATCATGCTAACGGGGCTAACATGACGTCCAAAGGTCTGTGGTAAAACTCACCCAAGTGCTATCAGCTATTAGCTTCTCAATGACGTCGGAAATTACAGCGTGTAACTCAGGTAAGGTTATGTTGGAAACATATCCCCGACTGGGGACGATGTAGCGAGGCTCAACGTAGTCCAAAGATCTATGGAATCCAACATCCTCACCAACGAAAAAATAAATCTTCCACACCACAGACGTTTTGAATTTTCCTCTCCGCCGTGAGATCAGGTAGGCACGCGTGACGTCATCACGTTGTGCTGCCACTGCAGGCATCCTTGTTACTGCATTGTCATACAAAAACAGCATTTAGCTTTAAAGCTAATATTGGTTGATACCAATACCATGCCAAAAATATTGTGCATCCCTAGTCTCTAGTATAAAAGTAAACCACTTCAACATCGACCTGAATACAAAGGAGCACGTTTAGAAAATCCTGAAAATGACTGAGCAGCACCAGCAGTCCTTAACCCACCTGGTGAAGCTTAAACAGAGAAAGAAAGGCGGGCTCTTCCAAAAGAAAGCCATTCCAAGTTTAGTGGTTACAAGAAGCTCCAAGGCTGCACTACTCCACTACATTCCTAAAATCTCAATTTATCTGACAAATTAGTTTGTTTCCATCTTCAAAAACAACAAAATGCACCTAAAAACTGTTTTGTAGGCAATGTAGGATGCTGGACCAAAAAAACAATTGTATCAAAATTAATATAAGTGACCATTACAAAATGAAGAGTTAGCACAAATGATGAGAAATACTTGTATTATGATCAAGCTTTTGTTTGAATTTTACATCTCTACTGTTGAACTTGAAAGGCAAATAAAAGGAAGGATAGGTAAATAAGTTGTGTTCTCTGGGACTTCAGCATAGATTAAAAGATTACCATAACTGGACTTCTACCTCATTCAATAAAACTCTCTCCTCTTTACGTTTGGCTGGGCCAAGAAGAAGGCAAACAGGCTGACCTAAGTGTAGCAATGCATCAAGCTGACGGTGACATAAACACACATTATCCAACCTCTGTTAGTAAAGCAACAAGTGAGATCGAGTGACTCATTTTCAGCTGCTTTGACCAGCCTTATAGATGCGTTCGGATTCAATTTAGATAATTAAAAAAAAAGAGTCCGAAACCAAAGTTGCTCTGCTACAAGCACCACTTGTTTTATTCCTAAAATACCCGACCTAAATTTCAGCTGGAAGTAGCACATCAGTCACTGTTGTGTTCTAAATTCCCCTTCCTTTAATTCAACAGCTCAACCACACTGACCTAAGTGAGAAGGACCACTGTTAATGTTTTTACTTCTTCCTTCTATTTCACACTGTTCTTGTATGACCTTCACTGGTTTTCACAATTTCTTTCATGCTTTCATCAGTAACACACACATTTCCTCAGTGAAATAGTCTTGGCAATTCTCAGAACTAAATATGTGAGTGTTTAACCTGCAAATGTATCAACATACAACACGGGTGTTCACATAGGGGCCACAAACAGTCGTGCCTAACCTGTGTCACCTGGAACACCGAAGCGATGAGAACATTTTTAGAG